GATAATTTTTACAATTAATGTCAAAAAAATAAAAGCATGGACGTTTTACACCATAATATTAAGAATAAAGCTATGTGTACATAATTTTTTCCACAATGTTTTACACCCTCCTCACATGGAGGGGGGCCCACACATAATAAATTAATCGTGGGCCCCCCTCCTTGTGAGGGGGTGGAATACATTGTGTAAAAAATTGTGTGTACACATAGCACCACTCAAATATAAATATGGAACCCGAATCGAACCACTTTACCGAAATATGTTTTGGCCATATTTGTTTCGAATTAAAATCATGTGCGTGTTTGGTGTAGATTAAAATTAAATTTTTAGTAAATTGTGATAGAAGTTTTTGAAATGTTTGGTTGAAGAGTTGTGAAACCGATGAAAGATGTAGTTAATATTGATTGTTTGACTTTTACTTAGATTAAAATATGATTTTAATCAGAAATAAACAAGGCCATATTTTAATATGGAGGAAACATTGAACATGATGAGTAATTCTCGCCCGGCCTCAGAGAAACCCGAACACAAAAGCCACCGTGATTTTAATCCTCGTCCAGAAGCTAACAAGAACAAATAGAGGCAGGGGACGCAACTGACGTCATCAACTCGATTGAGCACTTCCACGTCTAACGTCTTAATGGAGATCAAGGATATGAAAGAGTTTAAATGGTCATCGAGGATGCAATCCCCTCCTAATGCCCGAGACAGTAGCAAGTATTGTGATTATTATCGGAACCATGGGCATACAATGGAGAATTGCAAAGCCCTCCAGCGAGAAATTGATGCTCTAATAAAGATGGGATATTTAAGTTCATACGTCAGTTATGAGAAACGCCTGAGGAATGATCGAAATGACGTGAAGGGTCCCGAGAGAGGGGGGAATGACAAGCCTACGACATGAACCATTAACATTATTGTTCGGGGAATAGTATCAGGAGGAGACTCGGATAGTGAACGTAAGCAGTATGTCATGCAGTATAGCCCGAGCTTGAGGACGGTGCTTGATGACATGGAAGAAATCACATTCGGGTCACGGGACTTGGAAGGCCTGTCACATCCACAAGATGATGCACTAGTCATATCAGCAATTATAGCTAATTTCGAGGTAAATAGGATACTAGTTGACAATGGGAGAGCGGCCAATGTACTCTCTCATGAGGCATACTCTAGGATGGGGATTTCGGCCGAACAGTTCAAAGCTGTTAAAACCTCGCTTCAGGGATTTGGAGGTGGTACAATTATTCCGGAGGGAATCGTCAATCTTCCACTTACACTTACATTGGGATCGAATCAGAAGCAGGTAACGGAGATCACATCATTCCAGATGGTCCGTTCTTCAATGGCCTACAATGCCATTCTGGGAAGGCCATTACTCGACAAGATCGGGGCCATTACCTAGACAAAATACGTGCGCTAACATCCATGGAATCCCCTAGGAAGAAGAAAGAAGTTCAAAAACTGACGGGCAGCGTCGCCACCTGAATAGGTTCATGTCTCGTGCAACGGATAGATGCTTCCCATTTTTCAAGGCTGTAAGAGGGAATCATAACTTTGAATGGACGAGGATTGTGGGAAAGCATTCCAGGAGCTCAAGCAAACGTTGACAACCCTACCAATTCTTACTAGGTCGGAGCTGGAGATATTGTATTTCTATACTTAGCAGTCTCTCAGAACGCGGTAAGTGGTGTGTTGGTGAAAGAGATCAGCAGAGCTCAACAACCAATCTACTACCTGAGCAAGGTATTGCTTGATGCAGAGATTGGGTATACATTGGCCGAGCAACTAGCTCTTACCCTGATGGCGGCAGCAATGAAATTACGATAATATTTTCAATCTCATCCAATCGTCGTGCTCACTAATCAACCACTCAAGCATATATTTCAGAAGCCCGACATGTCTGGAAGGCTATTAAAGTGGGCTATTGAACTTGGCGAATTTGACATTGAATTCAAGCCCGGCCTCGATTAAAGCACGAACTTTGGCCGACTTCATAGCAGAACTCACCCTAAGGCCTCGGAGGCCAGCAAATAACCCAACCATTGATGTCATGGACATATGGGAGATATTTGTGGATGGAGCATCGAACTCCTCGGGCTCGGGTGCAGGGGTCATAATTATCAACCCGAACAAGCATACGAAGTACAATGTGCACTCTGATTTGAATTTGAAGCTACAAATAATGAGGCAGAGTATGAAGTAATTATAATTGCGCAAGAGCTTACCATTAATCTTGAGCTTGAAAACATACAAATTTTCAGCAATTCGCAACTAGTGGTCGGATAGATAGAGGGGACATTTGAGAGAAATGATAAGAAGATGAGCTTATACTGTCTGAGAGTTCATGATCTTCAAAGACGATTTAAGAGTTGTGAAATTGTAAAGATCTCTCGTATCGAAAACTGCAAGGTCGAGGAAGTGCCTCAAGCTTTGCCACCGAGCAAGCACCGCAAGCCTTGCTACGTGCAAGCACTTCAAGCCTTGCTACCGAGCAAGCACCTCAAAGCCTTGCCGCGTGCAATCACTTCAAAGCATTACCATGTGCAAGCACCTCAAAGTCTTGCCACTGAGCAAGCACATCATGCCTTGCCACGGT